GGGCCTTTGAGCTCCAGGCCCCTCCTGCTTTGGGATCCTGCAGCCCAAGGACACTAGCCTGAGTTGTCCATTTTATAAGCCCTGCCCTGACTATGCCCATCCCTCCCCCCACCCTGGCTCCTGGTCCATACCTCTTAGTGCTGGCGTAGCTTACAGAATCACATGGAACAGAGGCTGGAGAGAAGGGAAGGACCTAGCCCCTCTCCCAGGTCCAGGAAGGGTTCTCGGTCTCCCCTTGGAATTGCTTTCTGTCAGAAGGGAGGTCCAGAGACTGGTAGGCAGGTGCCCCTGGAAACAAAAGCCTGGTTCTCATACTACGCTGCTCTGTACTATGAGCAAGTCTTTACTCCCTGGGTCTCAGTTTCCCCAGAAGCAGGACCAGGTGGCTAGATCTAGTATGCAGGGGCTGTCTAGGCAGTGGTCTCATGGGACCCTATGGCCACCTGTCCTTTGGGCTCTCAGGAAGCAGTCCTATCCCATAAGTGGCAGTGCTTGGCTCATTCTTCCATTCTGCCCATGTTTGTACTCCCCTCTCTGTTCTAGGTCACTCCATTTCCTTTTTTATTCTCCAAGACATGGGTCAGCTGAGTGGCAGCCTCTGACCTGGTGGAGGGTTGGAGACCAAGGGAGCAAAAGGAGTGGCCAGTTAAGAATAGATGACTCTGGGTAGCGCTGTGGCAGGGTGCCTGCCAGGAATGTGAGTGAGCTGTGTGTGTGTGTGTGTGTGTGTGTGTGTGTAGGCACAGCTGTCCAGGACTGCCTCAATCATCCATCCATCCATCCATTCATTCATTCTACAACCCTTTATTTAGCATGGACCATGAACAAGTCCCTGTGCTGGGTGCCAAGGATAAAGAAAATAGCCAGGTCCATGCCCTTGGTGGGATACAGGTCAGCCTCCTGTCAGAGCACTAGAGGATTAGTGCTAGGGTTCCACACAGGAGAAAGGGGAGTCAGTTGCTGGTCTTGGAGGTCTCTGAGCCCTGACTTAGGAAGCTGTGTGGGGATCCAGTTAGTGGCAACAATGATGACACTCAAAGGACAGCATTTAAGGAGGGCCAAGAGTGTGCCAGGCACAGGGACATTTCCTTCTCCAGGAAATCCCAGAAAGAGGTGCTGTTTTCACCCCATTTTACAATTTAGGAACCTAAGGGGCATGCTAAGCCACCTGCCCATGACCTCACAGCTGATAATGACAGAACCAGTGTGATCCCAGCTTTCCTGACCCATTTCCTCCTCTAAAGTCAATGTGAAGGACCCTGGCATCCCTTGGGCTGAGAGATGGGGGGTTCCCTGGCAAACCAAGCACTGGAGGCAAGCAGGAGGTCTCCTGGGAGGGGTTGGTGCAAAGGGAGATCTGCCAGCCCCTCCCTACAGACAATTTGCTCCAGCCTTGGGTTCCAGACATTGTGGGAGTGGGGTCAGGGACAATACTGGGAGGTGGCCTCTCCATGATTTATAGCCTGCTAGAAAGCCAGCCAAAGCCATCTGGGGCTGCTGGAGGCTTCTTGGCCTTTCCTTCCAAACATCACCTGGGCGTGGCCATAGCCCTGAGCCCTCTAGTTCAGAGTCCCTGGCTGCAGGCACACAGGGACTCTTGGTGTTGGGGACACAGACATCAGAAAGGGGAACCTCACAGCACCCATGCTGGCCCTGGAGAGGGGTCTGCAGCTCTATGGCGGGCAGTTCGAGCTGCCTTGGAAAGGGACACAGAGGCTGGAGGAGGCAGGCACATCCAGACGGCTCTAGAGTGGGTGGAAGTCTCTCTCTCTCTCAGCCACAGACCTCAGGGAGGCACCCTTTGTTTCTCTGCCTCCTGCCAGGGTCCTTCCTGTCACTCCCTCCAACCTGCGTGTGGACATGCCCATATGGACTGCCTCATATGGATGGTACCTTGGTGCTACTTAGAAAAATCCTGAAGTGAACCAGCAGTGAGGAGCTGAGTTGGGGCTGGTCTGGGCCCTGCTTGTCACTCCTCACCCTCCACCCCTGTTGCTGGGCATTTTTGCAGGAGGCACCAACTGTTCCAGGATAGAGAGGCCCTGTCTGGGGCAGAAGGAACCCAGCTGTGGCTCCCCTATTCCAATTGACCTCCTTCCTTATGCAGACATAGTCCCTGCCCACCCCTCTAGGTCACCATATGGCACACAAGGCAGGGACTATCCCTATCTGCCAGGTGATGAAGCTGAGCCCACAGAGGGGAGGGACCCTGACCAGGTCACACAGCATGTCAGTGACAGAGCCTGCCGGCTAGGTCCTAGGGCCCACAGTAGGTACCGCTTCCAGACTCAGTAGGCCCTAGGGCTACTGCTTTGTGGGCTTGTCACCTCTTACTTGTCCTATTTAATTTAATAAATGTTGACAGAGGACCTGCCATGAGCCACAGTGCACCAAGTGCTAGAGGAAAACAGGCCAGCACTTCCCCTTCTTAGAACTAAATGTTGAAGAACTAAGTGTTGAAGGAAGGAAGGAAGGAAGGAGCAAATCAATACTGAGCTCCAGCTCTGTTCCATAGACTACAGCAAGCAATTTACTTAATTACTCACAACAACTTTTCTTCTTTGGCCCTCATTTTTACAGGTGTGGAAATGGAGGCTCAGAGAGGTTATGCAATTTGCCCAAGGTCACAAAGCTAGGATGTGTCAGTTCTGGTATTAGAATGTAACTCCAAATCCACACAGGATTTTTGTTCCTTTCTATTTAAAAAAAAAATTCCTTTCTTTTTATTCTTGGAATAGCTTCAAACACTTTCCTTCATTTTTAAAGGCATTTATTGTTTTTTTTCTAATTTTACAAGCAATACATGTTCATTGCAGACAACTGGGAAATACATAAAAGCATAAAGTAAAAAATAACAATCACCCATAATCCCCTTCCCCCCAGAGATAAACACCATTAGCATTTTACAAATGTCCTCCTAGGATCTACATCTTTTTATATAAACCAATATTGTGCCATAGAGCCCCCTTTTCACCCTTTTTATCAGTTCATACTATTTTGTGAGTGTTTTCTCATCTGTGTAAAAAATTTTTTTTGAAAACTTGGTCAGTAATCGATGCCTCTCTCCATTCTTATGCATTTATTTAACCCACCTCTAGTTTTGGACATTTAACCAGTTGCTTCTTATTTTTCACTAATAAGCATCACTGTGTAAAAACATCTTTTTATGTAAATTTTTGAGCCGATTTCTGCTTATTAGATTTCCCAGGGGTATTTGCTATCTAAAGAGCATGAATAGTTTTGAGGCCTTTAAAGCATATTGCCTTCTAGAAAGTTGGGCCAGTTTATGCTTTACCAGTGTACAAGGAAACACCCCATTTCTTCAAACCCTTGTTAATACTGGATACCACTCCATTAAAAAAAAGTCACAAATCTTTCTAAAGACCCAGCTCTCCTCACTGCATCACTCTGCTCCCTAGGAGTACTCAGTGTCATTGTTTATTAAGCACCGCCCCCCCCATTGCCTTTGGGGAAGTAGGGCACAGAAAGCAGAATTGGCATGCAATGTCAGACTCACTCACCAGCCAATGAAGTGCAGGCCTGGGATCCATGCACCCTCCTCCCATGTCAGAGCCCTCTTCTGTGTACCCTGGGCCTCAGCTTCCTCCACTGAGCTCTCCTGGCTCAGGGGTGCTTCCCCAGGTCACACCACCCTGTGGTCCTCTGAGTCCGTGTTGGGGAGGGGTCACTAGGCAGAGCCATCTCTCACCTCCTAAGCACAGGCCACATGGCCCCTGGGATCCTCACTTGGCTCTTGCTCCTCCTCATCCACTCATCCATCCATTCTTTCATAGATCTGACCACAAAACCAGGACTTGTCTGGCACCTCTGTGATCCAAGCACTGTTTGTTACTGCATACTGGCATCATTAACTGTCAGCATTGCCACCCATCCCCTATTCAGAGTCACAGCATCTTCAGTGCCATCACCACTCCTTCCAACTTAGCACTGTTTTCTGAATTTCTGTGATGGTAACCAAGTCTGCGATGCTGACATGCCCACACATTACTGGAACTCTCCTCTGAGAGTCCCCCTTATGACCGCCTGGATGGGTCCCTAGGCTCCGTTTGCTGTTGTTTGTTTACTGGGCCCGGATCTTATATTCAGACAAGCTCAGCAGCAGGTGCGGAGGGGTCCCCACATCCTCCCACTTGTGCGCACACACGGGTGAGCAGGCCCAGCCTCTTCCGGCTCAGCCCAGCACCCTTAAGCCTTGCTGGCATGCCCTGCGGGGCCCCTCAACCTTAAACTCACTGAAGCTAATGACATTTTTTTTTCTGATTTGAAAATGATGAGTTTTAATTGGGGGACAATTAGAGGTAGAAGCAGGAGGCATCTGATCCTGATTAGAAGCAGGGAGATGGCTAGACACACCCCCACCCCAGTCCGCCCCACCCCAGCCACCAGCAAGACTCATTTATGCACTCAGTAAGGTTGGGAGGGCCTGGTCTCTGCACCTGGGGAGAAGGTCATCTGAGAGCAGCCAGAGGGTCCCACTGTGCTCCCAGACACTTAGAACTAGCCTGAGCTAAAAGGGGAGGGACTCTGTCTGTCCACTGGTCCTAAGCAAGGACCCCCAGCCTCACAAAGGAGTAGAACTAACACTTCTTAAGCATCCACTTACATTGTGAAAAGTTGGTCCAGCCCAGTGTATATCCATACCTCAGTCCAGCTGGAAAGGCAAAAGTGTAAAACACACACTCAAGAGGCAGAGGCAGGAGGCCAGTTCCAGGCCAGACCCTGTGCCAGTAAAACAAAATACAAAAGTGTGAAAACACATGCTCATGTCTCTGGTGGTGGAGGTGGCTTGAGAGACCAAGAGGCACAGAAGGCAGCATCTCTGTCCTCAGAGGAACAATCACAGACTTGACTAATAACAGCCCCTTGATGGTCTGTATCTCACTGGCCCTAAGGTCAGGCTTCCTGATCTGTCAGAGCCAAAGCTACAGAGAGAGAGAGTGCAGTGGAAGGCAGAAGAGGGGCTGTCTGCCAGTGGCAGCATGAGGGAGGAGATGATGCCCAAGCTGGGCATGGAAGGACCCCCCCATCACCACCCCCCTGTGCGAGTCTTCTCCCAAGTCCTGGTGGATGAGCTGCCCTTCTGTAGGGCCTGTGAAGCTCTGTTCTTTCCTTTGTCTCTTTCGGTTGTGGAGAGGATGAGCTGGCCCAGCCTGTGGGAGAAGGGTTACATGCTAGGCACAGTCTGGCAGGGGTCGGGGATACTGTGGGGAGCTGTGAACATGTCAGTGGGCGTTACTGTTTTATGTGCCAAGGCCAGGTGATCCCAGCCTGTCTTCCTCCCCCTGCATATTGCCTACACATCTTCCTGGGGACACTGAGGCTGTGAGAGCAGAAGTCGCCAATCCTTGTGTATCAGTTTTCTAGGACTGCCATAACAAAGTGCCATGGGCTGGTGGCTTAGGAATTGGGATGTATTTTCCCACAGTTGTAGAAGCTCAAAGCCTGAGATGAAGGTGTTGACAGTATGGACTCTGGTGAGAGCCTCTACCTGCCTGCCTTTCCCTGTGTCTCACATTGTCTTCCCTCTGTCCCACTCTCTCCTTATAAGGACACTTGTCACACTGGATTAGGACCTCCCCCAGCTGAAGCCCCATTTTAGCCTCATTACTTCTTTAGAGACCTTATCTCCAAACACAGTCACCTTCTGAGATCCTATCCTGGGCACTAGGGTTTTAGCATGTGAACTAGGGGGACACAGTTTAGCCCATAACACCCATCATGAGCCAGAGATGACATGAGCCACTTCTGCAGACTTCCTGAAGCCAGAGGAAGAGTAGAGTCCCACAGAAGTCAGGACCAAGCCTGCTCTGCTGGTGAGCTGTGGCTGAAACAGAAGTGCAGAAGCAGGACCTTGAGTCTGGAGTACAGAGTGGGCCAGGGTTCAGAACCAGGGCCTTGCAATGTGCTGCCTGCTGTGGGGCTAAGGGATAGGCATGTGCCGTGTGTGTGTATGCATCTGCACAGCTCCCAGCCAGTGTGTAGAAATTATAGACAACTCTTTTCAGCCAAGTGAGTCCAAGTGGTCACTTCTACACCATCTCACATCTGAAGTACCTCTCTTTGCCACCCTGGGACCTGGTCAGACACTGGTCTTTGGATCTTCTACACCCACCCCTACCCGTATTCCTTCAAGGATTCTTGTAGCATCTTCTCCCCAGGCTGAAGCCCTGATCTGTGATATCCAGAGGTCAGAGCTCTGTGCTAAGGTGCAGGCCCACACACATGTTAGCACATACACAGACATATGTTTAGTGTCTTTGCAGTCACTCAGGCCTCCTCAGTGACCTACTGATATCACCAGTTCCACTGCCCATTCTCCAACCTTATCAGATTGCCTCCAGACCCTCCCCATCTTCCAGGGAAACCAAGGCCCAGAGATTAGGCAACTTCCTTTTGACTGCAGAATAAGCAAGTGGAGAAAAAATATTAGTACAGAAATCTCAGGGACCCACATTGCTGAGCCAGAGAGGGTACCTCAGGGGCCAAGAAGGATGTAGTCACTTGTGGTGGTAACAGGTAGGGGTGTATTCCACAGGTGACATACATAAATACAAAAACCTATAATACTCTTGTCATCTTTCTAGCTCCCTTTGTGAATGTCAGCTGATGTCTTAGTTTAGGTACTTTTCCTTCCCAGAACTCAGTATTGTTGTTTTTGTTTTTGTTTTGTTTTGTTTTTAGTTCAGATACTTCTCCTTTTAGAAACTCAGCAAGGTTGCTGAAAGGGGACAAGGGCCACTCAGTCTAGCACCAGGAGCCACTCAGCAGCTTCTTGGGACTCTTGGGATGGCTAAGGACAGCAGCCATCCAGTCTTCCCTCTAAAGTTTCATTGACAGGAACTTATACTCCATGGCATCACAGCCCAAGTTGGGCAGCTCATTCAGAGAATTTTATCTTTTCAGCAAACTTTGCTTGAAGGCCTACTATGTGCCCGGCCATGTTCTAAGCACTGGAGTAGAGCAGGGAGCAGAGTGATGTCTGTGTCTTCAGGGAGTCAATTTCTAGTGGGAGGGACAGCAACGACAAACATAGCATATGAAGTTAAGTGGCGATGAGTGTTATGAAGAATATAAATCAAGGAAGGGGATGGAAAGAGATGGGGGTGGGGGCATGGTATGTTGATGGGGTGTTCAGGGCAGATGTCGTTGAACAGGCTGGAAAGAAACTGAAATATGTGACTATCAAGGGGAGAGAGACCCTGACTAGGAAGCAGCACACACAGAAGCCAGAGGCAGTAACGTTTGCTAATCAGGTTCAGCCAACAGCCAGGACAGTTTGGATGATACAGAATCTTGGTTTGCCAGACCAACTCCTCACCCCAGGAGGCAGAGGGGGCACACAAACAAGTTCCCCAATCCCTTCATGCCCTTCCAAGTGCCTCCAGGGCCCATATGGTGACTTCCACTCCCACTGGGCCTCCAAGGGGATTGCAGATGGTCAGCAGGGAAGCTGGGATGATGAGAGAGGGCAAATGGGGACTAAGTGCCACTCAGCAGCTTCTGGGGACTCTTGGGATGGCTAAGGGCAGGTTCGGTGTTGTGACCCTCCACCCCCCAGCCTGTCCCACTGTGTCTGCATACTGAGCACTCAGAGCCCACTGACCACAGCTGCCCTCCTCCAAGCCTGAAGGTGTAGATAAAGGTTGGGGTTTGAGAGTTAGGTGGCCTTAGGTTCAAATCCAGCTGCTGGCCCTTTGCCCATGTGACCTGTGGAAGTGGCAAGTGTCCTGCACCTTAGTTCCTTTATCAGTCAGATGCAAGAATAGGTCCTCAAAAAAAAAAAAAAAAAAAAAAACAGGAACAAGCCATTGATAGGGCAGTGATTGAGTGTCTAGAGAGCATAATAATTCCTACTTTAAGGATTGATCTGAGGATCAAACCAGCTAATGCTGGTCCAGCACCAAACACAGTGCAGTGTAATTGTGGGAAGTGTCAGTCTCTCATGGTGTCAGAGCTCACTCAGCCCTTCATGCCCAGACTTCGCAAAGTCCCACCAGACACGTTGAGGCGGAAGCCATTTTTATACTCATTTTGCAGGTCTTGAGGTTTTGAGAACCCCAGGAAACTTAACCTCACCAAAGCCTCACAAGGCTTTGCTGTTGGGTTAGCTTTACCCCTGGGATGCAGATGAAAAAATGAAGCAAGGGTAATTAACACACCAGCAATGGTAATGCCAGGCAGGGAACCCAGACAGCCAGCCAGTCCAGACTGGCCCCCGGGAGAGCCGAGTGCCCACTGCAAAGATGGGGAGTGGGACTGGCAGCTGGGCCACCCTGGGTTCCAACTGCAGCCTCTCCTGACAATCCCTGGCCTCTTTGTCTGCCCCCAGCCTCCGGCCGCTCCCACCCAGCCAGTCCCAGCCCCCCAGGACCACAGGCCAGCCCGGTTCTGCCTGTCAGCTACCGCCTGTCCCACACGCGTCTGGCCTTCTTCCTGCGGGAGACTCGACCCCCGTCGCCTGCGGTGGCCAACAGCTCCTTGCAGCGCTCCGAGCCCTTCGTGGTGTTCCAGACCAAGGAGCTGCCTGTCCTCAACGTGTCCCTGGGGCCCTTTAGCACCAGCCAGGTGGTGGCACGGGAGTTGCTGCAGCCATCTAGCACCCTGGACATCCCTGAGCGCCTGACGGTCAACTGGAAGGTGCGCGCCTTCATCGTGCGAGCCCGCGTGCCCGCCTCACAGCCCGTGGCGCAGGTGCTCTTCTACGTGGCGGGTCGGGACTGGGACGACTTCGGTGTCACGGAGCGGCTGCCCTGCGTCCGCCTGCATGCCTTCCGGGACGCGCGCGAGGTCAAGAGCTCCTGCCGTCTCAGCGGGGGCCTGGCCACCTGTCTAGTACGCGCCGAGCTGCCCCTGGCCTGGTTCGGGCCCCCAGCCCCGGCTGTACCGGCCAGCGCCCGCCGCAAGTCCCCGGACGGGCTGGAGCCCGAGGCGGCGGGGGAAAGCCAGCAGGCCGAGCTCTTCTACACGCTGCACGCCCCGGACGCGGCGGGCGGCTGCGGGGGCGCGCGGCGGGGCGCGGGACCCGGAGCGGGGGCGCGCGCTGAGAGCCCGACGCAGCACCCCCTACTGCGCATCGGCAGCATCAGCCTGTTCCGTCCACCGCCCCGGAGGACCGTGCAGGAGCACAGGCTGGACAGCAACCTGATGATCCGCTTGCCAGACCGGCCGCTCAAGCCGGGGGAGGTACTCAGCATCCTCCTCTACCTGGCTCCCAACTCCTCCTCGCCCGCCAGCCCCAGCTTGGAGCGTTTCACTCTCAGGTAGTGGAGCTGGAGGGGTGGGGCTGATTTGGCTTCTGAGGTCAAAGGCATCCCAGATCCCAGAGCCAGGGTCCCAGTAGGGTCCTTATCCAGCATCCTTATCCCAGCACGCACTTATTTAAGCCTCGGTGTTCTTACCTGTTTAATGGCAACCACAATTTCTGCCTCTCCGTCTGCGTCTCAGAGAAATGGAGTCAAAGGGAAATGGCAGTTTTCACAAATATGAATGTCCAGAATGATAGGATTGGGGCTGGGAGGGTCCTTAGACATAAACTGGAATAGCTCTCCCATTTTACGCTAAGGAGACCGAGGCCAGAGAGGAGAATGGAAATCAGAGAGCAGCCCCTGTATTGGCAGCCAAAAGATGAACAGGACCTTTTGCCTGCTGGGATTAAGACCTCCATCCTGGAGTTGGGAAAAAGTTCTCAGGAATGCCGGCTTTCTATACTTTCGGAAGGTCATGAATTCAGAAATGCCCTAAATCATATCCCATCCCCATGAAACATAATATTTCATAGTAAGAATCCATGGTTTTGAGTCATGGTGGGGGAGTCTAAGGATATATAAAAGGCCCTACAAAATGCTGCCCCCCCCCCAGTGTGCTAGGGACCTGAATCATCATCTCTGACCTTCAACTTCTCGGTTGAGTCCTGCCCTCTCTTCTGAGCATACTACTGTAAAGTTCACATATCCCTAGAAAGGGCCATCCCTGACTCAGTTATATCAGACATCTGGGGCTGCACTAATGGGAGTAGAGTGTGTAGACTTTGAGAGGTGACAATCATTGTGCTTGAGTCAGTGTTAATGAGCAGAGCTGAAGCATATAGAACGCTACATCTCATGTGTTCACAGTGCCCAGAGGATGGTGACTAGGCTATGAGGTTCTTTGAAACTACAACAATTAACCATTGGAGGAACTAGTCATCTGAAGAACAATTATCTTGAGGGTGGTGGCACACAACTGTAATCTCAGTACTTGGGAGAAAAAGGCAGGAGGACCACAGGTTCAAGTCCAACCCAGGCAAAAAAAATGCAAAAGACCCAATCTCAAAAACAAAATACAAACAAAAGAGCTGAAGGCATAGCTCAAGTGATAGGGCACTTGCCTAGCCTGTGCCAGGCCCTGAGTTCAATCCCCAAGTTCTGCAACAAACAAACAAAAACTGTCACGATTAAGATGGAGACCAATTGTTCTTTGTTGCCCCAGTAGAGCCCAGGGCTGCTCTGTCTCACCCAAGTGAAAGGAAGAGGTCCTAGATCCTTATGTCTTCCTAAGGAAGGACTGAGACACATGCAGAAGTCCTACCACTGAGGCATGCGAGCCAAGATCAGGCAAAGACTGGGCAGGATTATGGTGGACATGATCACAGTTCCCACCAAGCAGCAGGGATACAGTCCCCAATCAAGTCTAGGACTGGAGTTACTCAAGCTCATCTGCTCCTGCTGCCCCCAGCTCTAGTCTACAGCTTGTGGCCAAGTGGGCAGTCTTTGGGCCCCAGCCTAACCCTCTTCTTCCTCCCCAGGGTGAAGGCCAAGAAGGGCGTGACCCTTCTAGGCACCAAATCACGAAGTGGCCAGTGGCATGTGACCTCGGAACTGCTAACTGGGGCAAAGCACTCAACAGCCACTGTGGATGTGGCCTGGGCCCAGGGCACACCCCTGCCACCCTGGTGAGCCCCCCTCTGCAGAGCAGACACCTAGAAGGCTGGGGAGCCTCTATAAAGAAGGTCAGGAGGTGGAATGCTGAGACTAGATTGGTGGGAATCTGAGGACTAGAGCTGGGGTACCTGGGGGGCTGGGGAGGCTCCAAGGGCCACAGAGGTTGACAAGGAGGAGCAGGGTGCCCACTGTGGTTGCAGAGTCCCTGGGCTGCCCCCTAGCCCCCTGTCGTCAGCTTCCTTCCTTCCACACCCTGCAGGGAGGGCCAGAGTCCCCTGGAGATCCTGCAGCTGGACTTTGAGATGGAGAACTTCACCAGCCAGTCAGTGAAACGGAGGATCATGTGGTACATCGACTACCGTGGCCACGGCTCCCTGCCTGATCTGGAGAGGGCAGTCACAGAGCTGACAGTCATCCAGAGGGACGTGCAAGCCATCCTGCCCCTGGCCATGGTGAGTGGGCGGTGACCAGGTCAATGGATGCCTGTTTCTATGCATGTGTGATGGAACTGTAAGTGGCAGGGGGTGCACACAAATAGATGTCTGAGAGACCGCTGCTGGTAGCAGGTTGCCCTGTGGGAAAGGGCACATGTGCACACATAAGAGGCCTAGGAAAGGGGTGCTACAGCAGAGTGTTGCTGAAGCCACCACAGCAGCCCAGGTGAGCAGACCATCTGAGCAACATCACGAGGCTCAGAGGAGGTCACCCCTGCACATGTGCCAGTGTCCCCATGGCAAGGATGTATGTCTGAGGAGTGGCAGAAGCCAGGGCCTTGGCTGACATGTCCCAGGAGAGAAGACCAACACCATAGCCCCCTCTTCCTTTCCTCCCTGCAGGATACAGAGATCATCAACACAGCCATCCTGACCGGCAGGACAGTGGCCATCCCTGTCAAAGTCATTGCTATCGAGGTGACTGGCCTGGTCCTAGATGTCTCTGCTTTAGTGGAATGCGAGTCTGACAATGAGGACATCATTAAGGTGGGCTTTCTGAAGGAGGGGGCTGTGGAAGAAGGCTTTAGGCCTTTGGAGGAGCAGCACCTCAAACCTGAGTCCAAGTGGCTCATTTTACTCATCCTTGAAGACTGCACGCGCCCCACTCTGCTCTGGGCCAGCACGCACCCTGCCCCTCCCTTAGTCCAGACTGACTCATTCTCAGCTGCACCTGCTGTGTTTATCCCTGCACCTGTGGGCAACCTGGTGTTTTTCTCTCCCACCCTGGGTATGTCTCCAGCCAAGGGTACTTCCTGTATGAATATGGCAGGCCAGAAGGGAAAAGGCAGTGTGGACAACTTGAACTCAATTCAGCAAGTCCTTATTGAGCCCTGGTATGTGACTGAGCAAGGTCGGGGGGAGTCAGGTCGGGGGTGGGGGGCAGTTAGGACAGGAGTGAAGACTGCACTCCAGCTTCACCCTTCCTAATCCCAAAGGCCAAGGGCCCATCCCAGTTGTAACCCCTTCCTACCCTCAGTTCTATCTACTGAGTCCTACTCTGCCCAGGTCCTCCCCAGCCAACATTTGGGAAATTCACCTGACTCATGGGCCAATTTGCTACCTCTCCAGGAGGCTCTAGGCTTGCTCTTTTCCCTGGCTTTTGGAGCAGAGAGCATAAGTCACTGAAGAGGGCAATAATAATGACAACATGTACAGCCCTGATGCCTGTGAGGTAGGCCAGCTTCTAGCAGAAGGGAAACCAGATGACATGACCCAATAGTTGGGTCTACTTCCTGTTCTTGTGGCCAGTCCACTTGGAGGAGAGCAGGAGTAGGGATACGGGGGTTCTGCAGGCTCATTGGGCTCTCTCATACTCACTCTCCATGCCTCTGCCTCTGGGTCCCCCAGGACTGGAGAGCCTGGGGCTCCCTGTCCTCCAGAGAGTCAGAGCAGAGCTCCACCCACTGCCCCATCTCCTCTGTCAGCATGGAAGCCTTACCCCATCACAGGCTGGGACAGCACCAGGCACATCTGCTCCCAAAAGCCCGCACCCAGCACCTCTCTGCCACCCAGATTCTTCCCCCATCCCCCATGACGGCTTAGATGCCAAAGGAAATCATCTAGGCTTCTAAATGGAATTTGTGACAAATCTCAATGAAATACACTCAGGCTCTTTATGGAGTTTGCCAGCCTTCTAAATGGAATCTGCCAGCCTGCAGATGGAATTCTCTGCCTTCATGGTGGGAAATGAGCATTTCTGGCAGGACTTCTGTCTCCACCTCCCTCCATCTACCCTCTGAGATGATTCAGGAAGCTGGAAGGGGGGGGGTCTGGTGGTCCAGGGGCTCATCCCAATGATAAGCCAGGGTCCCAGCACCCTCCACACCCCTCTAGAGACATCAAGGTGTCATCAGCCCACTAGCTTTATGCTAGACCTTTCCCAAACTCAGGGCAGTGTCCCCTGGTTGTATTCCAGCAGGAATACCTGAGTGTGTGTGCTCACAAGATCCACTCCAGCGTGTGCCAGTTGCCTGCGTGGGCACCATTCGCACACTCAGCCATCTGTATCTGTCCTGAAGCATTGGCAGCGAGCCTCTGGGAGTAGAGTGGGCACCGTTCTTCACCAAATGTGCCCAATAGGCATGTGGTTTCCACTGGGAGCCTCTAGGAATGCAGGTTGCCAGCCAGGTGGGCATGCATTTACAAAACCCACACACATTGGTGGCAAACATCCACCCGTCTGTGCTGGGGCTTCTCCCATCCTCAGTTTTCCTCCCCCACTCCCTCCTCCACACCTGACAAAAACAGCCCCTCACTTGATGTTAACTAGCTGCCCACTTGCCTGGGGCAGCCATGCCACAGTGTCACAGAGGAGGCACGGAACTGCACCTTGCCACATCTGTCCACCTCACTCCCTGCTGCCCAGTTGAGCACCCCCATGTAGTGGAGGACTACCTCACAGACACCTGGCTGCAGAGCCTCAGTTACACCAGGGTAGGGACAGCCCTAGGAGGCCCTTTCCCTGCAGCCCCCTCCGAGTCGTGGCTCTGGCAGGTTAGACAATCCTCCTAGTAAAAAAAATAAAACCATACACCTTGGCTGCTTGCCAGGAAACAGAACCCTCCCCCATGGGCACAGAGGTCTAGAGAAACAGTAGAAACCTGACAGAGGCTGGCGCCCCCCCTAGTGGAATCACAGCCTTTGCCCACCTGGCCTCCTCCCTGCTCAGCCTCCAACACTGCAGGTCAGACCCAGTCCCCTACGCCACCCCGCAGGAGGACCCACAGAGCAAAACATGCTGCTTGCTCCGCTTTCCCCAGGTGTCCAGCAGCTGCGACTACGTATTTGTGAGTGGAAAGGAATCCCGAGGGTCCATGAATGCCAGGGTCACCTTCCGCTATGACGTCCTCAATGCCCCCCTGGAAATGACAGTCTGGGTTCCCAAGCTGCCTCTGCACATCGAGCTCTCGGATACTCGCCTCAGTCAAGTGAAGGGCTGGAGAGTGCCCATCCTCCCCGACCGCAGGTACAGCCCTCACACACAGCGTGTACTCTGGACACAGCCTCAGTCAGCATGGTCCGATCTGCCTTTGTGCATGAAGCTCTATGTATACACAGTCACAAACTGTGTCAGTTGTGCAGTCGACAAACTTTTATTGAGAAACTACAATGTTCCAGGCACTGACAGGTGTTGGAGATGTGGGGGTCTGTGTGGCCAGTGCTTGATCCAGCCAAGCTGTGAGTACAGCAGGGCAGGCAGTCATGCACCAGCCATAGAGCATGATGGAGCGGGGAAATGAGTGACATGAATGAAGGAGAGAACCCCTCTTCCACCAGGAGAAGTCAAGGCAGGCTTCATGGAAGAGGTGATTCTTAAGCTAAGTGTTAAAGGATGAGTGGAAAGGGGTTGCATGGGGACACAGGGTTAGAGAGCAGTCAGGCAGCCAAAATGGATTAGGCATACCAACACTGCAGTACACACACCTGGACACGTGTGCCCTAGGCTGGGCACACAAAGGCATCTCCTGAGTCCATAGGCACAGGCAGACTGTGATGCACCCCCCGACTCCCTTCTTGGGGTGCAGGCTCCCACACCCAGTGCCATCTGTGGGCCACATATGTATGTACTCACCACACTCCTCATAGGCACTCAGAGCAGCCAGAGACAAGAGCCCAGCAGGGAAGAGAAAGGCAGGAGGCAGGCAGCTGGGGGTGGAGCTGGGAAGAGAAGCAGGCAGCCAAGAGAAAACTGCACTGGGTCAATTCCACAGATGGGCTGGAGCGCAGGAGTGCAGACCAGAGCCTCTCAGACTTGAATGGTTACCGGGTTACCTGTTAGAATGCAGCTTGATTCTGCAGGACTGGGACAGAGCCTGTGGCTCTGCGTTTTTGACAACTGCCAAGTGATTGCTATGCTGCTTCGAGCAGTGAGGACATGGTGCATTTGGAAGCCAGACAGCCTGGTTTAAATCCTGACTCTTAATTACTAGCTGTGTAACCTTAGGCTATTTACATAAACTCTCTTTCCTCATCTGTAAATTGGGCAAGCCAATACCTCATAGGATTGTAATGAGGATGAAATTAGTTAACACAGGTATAATACCAGAATATTTTGATTAGTAGATCCTTCCAAAGCACTCACCACAGAGAGAAAGACAGAGTTTCCTGGCAGCAGATCTCCTGATTTGAGTGTCTTTTTCAATCGGTGTAGGCTGAGGATTTCCCAAATCTTCAAGTCCAGATTCCCTTTTGCTTAACGGTTTCTCAATTTTCCTGTCTCCTCTCATATTTTACTGAAAGCAGCAAGAGGAAACCAGGCTGTGCCTTCCACACCTTGCTTGGAAAACTCCTCAGTTGAACATTCAGGTTCATCACTTGCCAGTCTGCTTTCCACTCCACTATATGACACGATCAGCTGATCCTGCTTGGCTTCCATAACAAGGGTCCCCTGCACTCCAGTTTAGAGCCCAGTGGTAGGCTTAGAGCTTAGAGGAGGCAATAGTTATTGTCAGGACTGGATGCCAGCTAGTCTGAGACATGGGGTAGGAGGGTCAAAGAAGGTACTTTTCTAGAAGAGTGGTCCCTCTGTGTCCCCTGGGAAAGTCCCTGGGACTCCTGGTTCCAAACTTAGTGATGCAAGGCATGGACCAGGGAGGAGGCATGCTGCTTGCAAAACTTCCACCCAAGGGGAGGGAGCCAGAGAGGAGCCGGCAGGACAAGCCTTTGGGAGGTAACTTGTGCAGGTCACAGGCAAGGCTGACCACTCTCAGCTGGGCCTGAGCTCGACACATCCCACCCTAGGTCAGCCCGGGAGAGTGAAGATGAAGATGAGGAGGAGGAAGAACGGCGGCAGAGCGCAAGCCGAGGCTGCACCCTGCAGTATCAGCATGCCACACTACAGGTCTTCACCCAGTTCCATACAACGTCATCTGAGGGCACTGACCAGGTGGTCACCATGCTGGGCCCAGACTGGCTGGTGGAGGTCACAGACCTGGTTAGTGACTTCATGCGGGTGGGCGACCCCCGAGTGGCACACATGGTGGACAGCAGCACACTGGCAGGCCTGGAGCCAGGCACCACCCCCTTCAAGGTAGGAAAGGGTTCTGTCCAAGCACAAAGGAGTGGTGTCAGGAGGCTGGATAACCTGCGGGTGGAAAACTCAGGTGTGCCCAGGGCCTTGGTCTGGGGGAGCAGCCTCCACCAGCCTCCAGCACATTTTCTCTCTGCCCTACTGCCTGAGATTGCACCTTCCAAGGTCAAGTTCTTCTAGCTTCCTCTTGGTAAAGTTCTCTTTTCCAGACTTATCTACCTTTATCACCTAGACCCCTCAGTGAGGGTGGCTCCAGAAGATACCCCTCCCCAAAAGCAGGTATAAAGAGAGGAGGGGAGCCACTGGGAGTTGCAGGAAGGCAAGTTTGGGAGTCAAGGAACTCAGCTTTGACCTTCCCCTCTGACAATTGAACATCTTGGTAGAAATCATTTATCTACTTAAGCTAGGTGTTTTAGCACATGTCTCTAATCCCAGCTACTCTGGAGGCAGAGGCAAGAGGATCTTGAGTTTAAGGACAGCCTGGGTTAAGTCAATAAGAACTTGTCTCAAAAACAAAATACAAACAAAAGGACTGGGGTCACCGCTCAAGCGGGAAAGCACTTGCTTAATGTGTGGCGGCCCTAGGACCAGTCCCCAGTGTGAAGAAAAGTTTAAAAAGCATCCACCTAAGAGATTATAATGGTGATACATGAGCTGGAATCTGCCGCAGACATATTTTGTTTAGAAAACAATTGATCCAATATTTCAAAATTGTGTTTCTCATTTAAAAAAAAATCTAGAGTTCTGGTTTTACAAAAAAGTGAATCTAGAAACACTGGGTCTTCATCCCCTCCTGGCAGCAATCAGCTGGAACTAATATGGGGTTCCTTTTATGTGAGCACAAGGTCTCCCATTTGCCACAGTCCCCACTACTCCTTTTTGTCTCCCTGACATTGAGGCTAAATGTCTCTTACTATTTCTTAGTGCATGGAGATGGCTATTTTCCTTAAATCAGCCTCACCCCTCTCACCTGCATTCCTGCCTTGCTGCTATGAGTCCCTGACTCCCTGTTGTAACCTCTATACCTTGGTTCCCACTTGCAGAGTAAGGGTTTCTGCCTCCCGGCCATCTGCTCCACCCACCCCGCTGCAGTACTGGGATTCCTCGCTGGGTGGGACCCTGGGTGGGATCTACTGCTTTTCTGGCCCTCTCCCACCCAGCTGCTCTGCCTCAGGTGGTGTCCCCACTGACGGAGGCCGTGCTGGGGGAGACGCTGCTGACCGTGACAGAGGAGAAGGTCAGCATCACACAGCTGCAGGCCCAGGTGGTGGCCAGCCTGGCCCTCTCCCTGCGGCCCAGCCCCGGAAGCAGCCATACCATCCTGGCCACCACAGCTGCCCAGCAGACTCTCAGTTTCCTTAAGCAGGTAAATGGCTACCCCACCCACCAGCTAGGGAGTCTGGGGTGCGATCAGATGACTGGGGCCTCTGCCTTGCCCTATGCCATGAGTTCCCAAGTCAAGGCTTCAGGTAATAGAAGGTCTGTCCGCCCAAGGAGGGCTTTATGCCTGCCCCATCCTGTTGTCTGCCCTGCACAGGGGATCCAGGCAGGGTCCCAATACTCCTGCCAAGTATTCCCTCCAGGGCACTTACCTCTCTGCCCCACCCCAGGAAGTACCCAAGCCATCTCTGAAGCCCCAGCTACACAACCTGAGCTCTGATTGCAGGACAAAAGTAGAAAGGTGACAGGTGGAAGCACATAGTAGTGAAGAGGCAGACATCAGGGGTGAGCTAGAGTCAAGACACCCACGTCCTCTGTCCCCAGTGCCCTTGTGACCAAGGTCCATGGTGTCTTCCTCATCTGCAGGAACCTAAGGAGGCAGCAGGGTGTGTGTTCTCATTAGACAAGGATCTGATGGGGAATCCCAAGGCCAGGTGTAGAGATGAGGGTGCCTCTGCAGCAGAAGAAACTTGAGTTAAACCTAAGGCAGAACTTAACCTTCAGTTCATCAAAAAGAGAGGAGCAATTCTCAGGGTCCTACAAGGAAATCCTCAAGCTAATATGAGGTGTGGGTGCCCTGATGTGCTCTTCACTTTCCCCATAATCTGCAGGGACCACTGCACTTGGGCCAGGACCCTGAGTACCAGCTACAAACCAGCACAGCTCCAGGGCTAGGAGGATAGCAGCAGGCTCCTGGTCCTTGTCCTCAAAGAGCTCACAGGGTCCATTTGTCCAGCGGACTCTCTAACATCTGTCTCCCTCTCCTCCTCCTGCAGGAAGCCCTCCTGAGCCTCTGGCTCTCCTACAGTGATGGCACCACGGCCCCACTCTCCCTGTACAGCCCCCGGGACTATGGGCTGCTAGTGAGCAGCCTGGATGAGAGGGTGGCCACAGTTACCCAGGATCGGGCCTTCCCACTGGTGGTGGCTGAGGCGGAGGGAGCAGGGGAGCTGCTCCGTGCAGAGCTCACCATTGCTGAGAGCTGCCAGAAAACCAAGCGCAAGAGTGTGCTGGCCACAACCCCTGTGGGCCTGCGGGTGCACTTTGGGCGAGAGGAGGAGGACCCTACTTATGACTACCCAGGCCCCAGCCAGCCAGGGCCTGGTGGGGGCGAGGACGAGGCCAGGGGAGCTGGCCCTCCAGGTACCGCAATCCCTGCAGTGGAGGCCCCAGGCGTGGGCACCTCCAGCCCTCCTGCGCCCCCCACAGAAGACTTCCTGCCGCTGCCCACCGGCTTTCTGCAGATGCCCCGGGGTCTGACCGACCTGGAGATCGGCATGTATGCGCTGCTGGGTGTCTTCTGCCTCGCCATCCTCGTCTTCCTCATCAACTGCATTGTCTTCGTGCTGCGTTACCGGCACAAGCGCATCCCACCCGAGGGCCAGACCAGCATGGACCACTCTCACCACTGGGTGTTTCTGGGCAACGGGCAGCCCCTGCGGGTGCAGGGCGAGCTTTCGCCACCTGCGGGCAACCCGCTGGAAACCGTGCCTGCCTGCTGCCACGGTGACCACCACAGCAGTGGCAGCTCACAGACCAGCGTCCAGAGCCAGGTGCACGGCCGCGGAGACGGCTCCTCGGGTGGCTCAGCCCGGGACCAGTCTGAGGACCCCGCCAGCTCACCCACCTCCAAGCGCAAGAGGGTCAAGTTCACCACCTTCACCACGCTGCCCTCGGAGGAGCTGGCCTATGACTCGGTTCCTGCGGGGGAGGAGGACGAGGAGGATGAAGAGGACCTGGGTTGGGGCTGCCCGGATGTGGCGGGCACTGCGCGGCCCACTCAACCCCCGGACCTGCATAATTACATGCGCAGAATCAAAGAGATTGCATAGAAGTGACATCAGGGTGGCGGGGATGCCCCCGGCCACACACACACACGGTCTGCTCTGGGTGGGGCTCAGCTGGGACCCCCGGCTCACACTGACCAGGGCGGCTGAACTGATTTTATACACCCTACCCTGCAGCTTTGCTCCCAGCCAGTCGCTGCCTCCCTGGTCGTCCCTTCCCCCACTGCTGTCATTATCCTCTCCTGCCTCCTGCAGGTGGAGGGCTCCTAACTCCAGTCGCTTGGAGGAAAGCCTTGCTCTACCCTGTCAAAATCTCCTCCCATCTTAGGTAACTCCCTGCCTCGAGAGTGAGGCACAGAGGCCAAGCTCTGGGCGAGGTGGGCCCACACTGTGCTGCGCTCTGCCATCTATGTCCCCATCTTCCCCTTATGTGGGGGACCTGGGGGGGGTTCTTGTGTCACAGGCTGCACAAAGACTTTTTTCAAACCAATATTCAGGGATTTCTGTCCTGCAGGGTGGGAGTTGACAGCTGCCTGCCTTGCCAAGGATCTTGCTATGGACAAAACATTTGGGGGTCAGGAGACCATGCGGTATCTGCTGGCTCCCAGGTACCTCCCAAGCCTGGAGCTGACTACAAGCCAGCACTTTCCTGAGGTCTCCCCTGGACTCCCTCCTGCCCCATGGGCTGCAGCAGAGCCCAAGCAGAGGGATCCTCATCCCTCCCTGGCCAACTACACCCCTAGCGCTGTGGTCCACAGGCCCAAGGAGGCCTGGGTGCCGCCCTTCCCACAGCAAGGTCAACACTACTGCGCCTTAGCCGCCTGGCTCCGTTCACCACTGCTTCCCTCTGCTTGGCAGGGCAGGCAGCCACTGTTCCCCCAAACAGAGTCCCTGGGGTAGGGAGGGCACCGGGAAGTGCTGCAAGGGTCCATGGGGGTGGGTGAAGGCAAAAGGAAGCCAGTGCTCCCCTTCCTCATCCCACAGCCACTTTTCTCTTGGGTTCTACCCACCACTGTGTTGGATTTTTCATAAATAAAAGAAGGCCATCAGCCTGGGGTGGGGGCAGTGGCTCCCGCAAACAGAAAGTACGTGGTGGCTGGCTCTGTCTCTTCCTTATGTAGACAAGCACATGCGTGTGTGCGCTTACACAACACACGCTGTGAGCATACCACATGAGATGAGGCCACACTGGCCAGACCAGACTCCAGTCCTGCTCTTTCTCCTGCATACAGGTCCCTTTAGACCTGGGGAATGGCCACATCAAGGGACGAAGGATCCACCTCTGTGAAGAAGGGGCTCCTCCCGGAGTCTGCTATGGTTGGCTCAGAGGAGAGAGGGAGAACTTTGGGCCTGCAGAGAAGTGTCTTTGGGGCTGGAAGGGCACAGAAAAATAAGGAGCAGTGAGAGAATTGGCATGCTCACCTGAGCTTCCTCCAGGTTTCCTTCACTTCCTCCAGCCTGCCTCACAAGGGAGATCTCCTGGCTCTTCCTTGTGGGGTCAGTGGGGAAAACCCCAGGTTTCCATGCTGGAGAAAACAGGCATGTTGGGAGTATCCCTCTCTTTCAATCAGCTGTGTCTGGCCTGCAGCCCCTCATGGTCTGTGAGCATGCACTAGGCTTCCCATGGCCCTCGGAGACCACTCCCCAGCACCTGTGGTCATGGCAGGCACCAGAGCTCTAGGCCAGAGGGGAGGAGCCTGGCCAAGGTGGCTACCATCAATCACCTTGGAGATGTACACAGTGGAAGACAGGCTGCACTGGTACCACCCAAACATGCTTCTGTCCACCATGGAAAGTCCCAGCTCCCAAGAACACCTGCTCCACCCATCACAAGCCTGGGCTTGTTGAGAATTAAATGAGACCATGTATGTAATTGCTTTGTATGGTGCCCAGCAACAGGCAGTACAGCTAGCGTAGATAGCATACATAGAGGGTCTCAGACACAATCAAGTCTTCACTTCCAGGTAAGGCATGGATCTGAAAGAAAGACTGGAAAGTGACCATCTCCACTCAACAGACCAGGTGAGCTCAATGACAAGGGCCAGCTGCCTGAAAGCTGTGCACAGGGCAAAACCATGGGGCTCACATGAGGGCTCTCAGTCACTTTTCTTAAGCCCTTTTGATTCACATGGTGTCTGGAATTGGCAAGTGCTCAACATTTGTTAACTAAATCCAAATGCAAACCACAAGTTCCATTTGCATCCCCCGGTCTGGAATTTCCTATATTCTACCCCCTTATTAGTATAGAAAATCACAAAGATCCAAGCCATCCCTGGGGCTTAAAGGGAGAGAGATAAGGACAGACATGAGTCAAGGAAGAGCGTCCCAGGCTAAGGTCGAGGGGTTGCTGGTGTTAAACTTGCGGCGTGGGGCCATTTTTTCCACATGTGCTCCTACTCTGTGCTGGACTCTGCCAGGAGCCTGGGAAGCAATGTGGGCCTATCCTCAAGGACCCCCCCAGCCCCACAGGGAAGACAGACAGGCCAGCCGCCCACCACCACCTGGGATGGCAGTGGAACTTTGCTCTGGCTTGGTGGGTTACAAAGGAGGGGCACATACTCGGGCTGCATTTTCTGAGAACACGCCAAGAACATTCCTGGAATGGGGAGAGTGCATGTAAAGGCTGGCAGCTGCGGCTGCACGCCCGCCCTTGCGTGTTCAGCCACGTCTTTGCACCTGCTCTCCCTATGCCTGGAATATGGGCACCTGGTGACAGGGAAACATGAAAGCATCCGTGCATAGGTGCATGGATGGAGAAGCCAGAGAGTGTGGTGGACTCGGCTTGGGTGGGGGAATCAGGCTCAGACCTGAGGTCCAGACACTTCCCTCTCTCTGGATGGAAGAAGGAAGGATGGCCAAGTAAGGGAAGGATGGACCGGTAAGCAGAGAGGATGAGGCCCCAGCCTAGGCAGGAGGAACAGAACTGGTATGTTCAGTGGTGTTCAGCAGCAGGATTCACCAACTGCTTTATTCACTGCGGAGACGGGAGGAGAAATGAACTTGACTGCTTGACTGGGGAGACTTCTTTCCCAAATGAGCTCCAGAGCCCAGGCTACTGCGGGAAGGACATGGGTACTGTTATAATGGCTTTCCTCCGTCTATCCTTTCAATGACTGAAGACCAGGGCTCAGGAGAAGCTGTGGGCCAAAAGTTACACAGCAAACGTTGGAACAGAATTAGAGCAGGACCTGCTGCCCTGTCCTGTAATTTGTATCTCTTTCTCTTCATCCCTCACCATGTGAGAACCCAGAAGCAATTTTTAGAAACAGTAATGCCTGACCCTCTCGGAGTTCAAGCAGAAGCAGGCTGGGTGGAGGCAGGACATTAAGTTAACAGCCCCTCTGGAATGGCCCTGGCACTGAACTCCTCTTTAAAAATTTGTCTTCAACCCCGAAAACAAATCGAGGGACCTTGTAAAGTATAGTTATTGACAGAGTGCTGTTCAGGGAGCACCAGGGAGCCAGGCCCATGAATCAGCTCACTGGCAAAATGAGATTTCTCAGACAGCCAGAGTGGGGAGGGCGGGACAGAAAATGCTGAGCTGGTCCCTACCCCAGGGTCTGCTCCCTACCCAACCCCAGCTCCCTTCCCCACACCCTGGGGCACTCTGCCATGCCTGTCTCCAACAGATGTTGACTGAACACTTACTTCATGCCAGGCTTCATGTTCCCCTTAAGAAAATGCACTGGGGGGCAGGAAGACAGATTCTGGAGCCAAACTGAGAAAATCACAGATGGAAAATCTTCCTTGAAGGGATCAAACTTCCCAAGACAAGTTGGCAGGGGTTCCTGGGTTCTTAGCAGTACATTTACTGTGTGACCTTCAACCAATACATCACCTACTCTGGGCCCACATTTCCCCATTTGTAAAAAATATGGAAATTACCACTCCCGAAGAGGCCTCAGGGGTTTAACACTTGTATTTCTACCAAGAGTCTCAAACAGTAGGAATTCCTGTGACACAGGCCCAGAGAAGGCGAGGAACTTGCCCAAGGGCTCCAGCTTGGACACAGAATGGAGAGCGTTCCAAACTGTCTGCTATACCCAGAGGCAACTGATGACATTGGCAAGTGAAGAGGGACAAGATTGGAGAGATCTGAGGTGGCAGAGAACTAGGAAAGTGTTGCTAAGAATTCTGTGTGCTCAGTGATGGAACCAAGGCTTCAGGTCCCCATTTAAGGCACAGATGATAGTGTTTGGTGCAGATGGAGGACCATGGATCCACCATAGATGCTGGCCTCTCCGCCATTGCTGGAAGAACACACTCCCTCCCACCCTACGACCTCCAGCATGACAATCATCCAACCCCTCAGAGCAGAGCTCTCACAGGACTTTTCCTGGGCAGCCGCTAAGCTGAATTTGTTCGGGGAGTTGGTGGCACAGCAGAGATCCCCAGTGTAGGGAGCTGGACATGACCCTGCACCTGCCCTTTCTTTGAGGACACTGGCTGTCTTTTCAGCCCCTGAGGCTAAGCAAGAGAAACTGCTTAGGTTCCGAGGACCCCTAACTCTGTCACATTGACTCTGTGTTTATTAGGCCTTGCCATAGATCCAACACAGTGCCAAGCCCAGAGAGAACAGGCGTGTTCAGTAATCACTAGCATTTACTATAAGCCCACTACCTGCTGGCTTCTTTATAGCCATTATTTTATTGACTCTTCATAACTACCAAATAAGGTAGATACTGTCATTATACCAATTTACAGATGGTAAAACCAAGACTCAGAGAAGCCTTACCTCAAACTTGCCTGATACCACACAGCAAATCCATAGCAGAGCCAAGATTCAAAGCCAGGTTATATTGGCTCCAAGTTCCGAGTGCTTCCCCTTGCCCCACACTTCCCTCCTCCATGGGAACTTGCTGGGAGTTCTCTCTCACTCTACCATTGATTGTTCATGTTGCAATCAGCCTGGTGCTGCCCATGTGTGACATAGGACAAGACTGTCCATTAGCATTCAGGGACCAGGTGGACCCTCTAGTGTTCTCAGTTTTCGTGTTCCTTAAGCCTCAAGGCATGAAGCCTGGGCCCATCCAGTCCTGTAAGTT